CAATTTGTTGGCGAAAGTCGACTGTAGTGGTGACGAGATTCTACAAGTAGCATGATGTCGTATACTCATTACACCTTTTGACTATCAGCTCACTTATTTCATAGCCACCAGTAGGGTGTTTATCTCTCGATTTTATTAAAACACGTACACTCGTAATACCAGTGAGTGCTCAAAATTATGACAGTAGCATGGTGTTGATAATTGCTTGACACCAGTGGGGTGTCCCAAATCTCAGCACCAGTGGGGTGCTCTCATTTTCTTGGCATGACAATCTCATGGCTTAGCTTGAAAATAAAACTGGATTTTGATGGCTTTCATTTTTGAGAAAATAAATATGTTTAAAAAAAAGAATCCGAAGTGGCATTTGTTATTTTGATAATGAAAAATCATTGATGCAAAATCTTAAATTAAGATTGATACTATTCACCATAATGCTCCAGAGAGGTCGAAAGTTGAAAGATCTTTTATTCACGACGATGGAAGCAAAAGCGATACAAATTTTAACAAGGTAAACTGTCTCGATTAGTTGATGATAATCAACATCATCCATGCATTGAGCTTTGCTTCGTGGCTTTCCTAATGATTTTCTTGATTGGACTGCAAGTTGTGGTTGCTCTCCAACAATGAGTCATGATTTTCTTCAAATTTTGGACGAAGCCTTATGGAAAATGCTCACCTGTTCTTTCATTTCTTCAAGTGTCGCTAACCTTCTTTTGATGAAGTATAATTCCCTCTATAGTGACTCCAAAATGAGCATAACTTTGGATCCCGTCGATGTTTAAGGATTTGAATTTTCCTTGAGGAAGAGCAATTTTGAGGAAACCTGGGTTGTCTCAATATTGTCAAATTATTTCCGTTCTTTTTATGATGGTGTATGCGTGATGCTTATGCAAAATGTTAATGATGTATGAATTCAAATTCATTTGTCGTCTCATGCATGCGTTTTTAATCTTCTTATGATAAGTTGTTAATGAGTGAACATACATTATCATTACGTCGTAAGTAAACATACATTTAGATAAGCAAACATATATCATTACATCATTACCCTATTTGGTAGACCTAGGGCTTTCGGATGGCGTACCGACATGGTTTTAGGGTGGCTTTGGGGATTGTTTTGGATGGTTGAGGGTAGCTTCGAAGTTTACTATGTGCTGGTTAAGGAATTCCTAGGGATTTGGCTCCCAAGTTGTATCCCGCCCTAGCTCTTTCGAACTGGCTGGATACCTCGAGATCATCCTCGGATCCGAGTTCAACTTGGTTGGAAAGTTTTGCGTGACTACCACTACTGTGGATGTCACGGTACTCCTTTCGATTTTCTAAAGGGATAGCTCGAGCATAGAGCTTTTGTGCATGAATGCATAATTTAAATTTGCGAAAATATAATTGCGCAAATAAGAAAGTAAGCACCCAACACGTAATAGAAAGTTAGAAAAACTTATCGACTTAACAAATGTAGCTCGACTCTCGAATGTCCCCAGCGGAGTCGCCAACTGTCGCAACCGTCCCGTCCGGGGGTCCGATTTCGTCGCGTCGGCAATTTTGGTAGTCGCCATCGATCTTACTTGGAGTGGATCGAACACTCTTCGAATAGGCTCTAACCTTAGGGTCAGAACCGAGATATGGTCTGCGAAAATAAAGTTCTGGGTTCGGGAGTACGGTTACGTGTGGGGAAATTAAGCAACACCCCCACAACGCCCTAAATCGTCGATAAATTTTTTTGCGAGTTGGGTTTATTTTAGTAATAATTTTGTAATTTTAGGGTCCCACTGGACCATTAAAAAAAAATTAAAACGTATTAATTGTAATTTAATTGTACGTCCACTGACGTAAACGATAAAGTCAATTGGTTAGTTGGACTCGAACCTTATCGGTTGCCTACGTACCCGTTAGACGGGATCAAAGTCCACGTAGTTCGTTCGGACTTTGATAATTTAATTATAGCTTTACCACGTTCCACTGAACGTAATTCTCGTAATAAAATTTTATTGTTAAAGTTTAGATTGATTATTATTAGAATTTTAATTATTAGGATGTATCTTGGTGTATTAGAAAAAGAAATGAGACAAACTTAATCCGCATTTCACATTTCGTATTAAGGATTTTAAAACAAATAAAACTGAAGGGGATGACTATATTAATGCATTATGGGTCGGTAGCCCAACTGGCTAAAACGCCACGGCAGGCTCGCGTTTGACCCGGACGTCTTTGGTTCGAAGCGCGCTGGTGGAGGAATTTTTTATTTCTCGTTTTGATGTAGAAAAGGGGGAAGGGCATTCTAGTACTTTCACGAAACGCGGTGGCAGGGATAGGTAGTAATTAGGTAACCCTAGGGCATTTTAGTCTTTCCAATCGATGAGGTATATAAACCTTTAAGGAAAACCCTAGAAGGTCGGCCGCCCCATTATCCCTCTCGCCTCTCTTCCCACTCGTTCTCATCTTCTCCAGAGAAAACCAAACACGAACCCTAACCGCCGCTCTCACCTCTCCCTTTCCTAATCCTCTCGCCTCCTAACTGCCGCGTCTCTCTCCTCTCCTCTCACTCTCGCGTCTCTCTCTCTCTCTCTCTCTCTCTCTCTCTCTCTCTCTCTCTCTCTCTCTCGAGTAACAACGAGAGCAAAGGCGAATGGGATGTCTGCGACGGGAGGAACGGCGGAACCTCGACGACGACGACCGATTAAGGTAAGGGTCGTCTTGCATGTCGATTATTTCGGGTTTTATTTGATATTAGATTCAAAGTTAGGATTCCGATATTTTATTTTCGTTTTTGTTTATGCAAGGGCTTTGGTCGAGGGATAAGGTGGCGTCGGGCAGCGAGGATCCCCGGCGGCGACAGGCCGACGACGACACATGTATGGTTTTTTTGTTATATATTTGTTTTTTTACTTTTGATTTAATGACCCTTCAATTGATTATGACTTCTATTCTTGTATTGATGCAGGTAAGAAAACAGATCTAGGTAGTTCTCCTATAACTCTCTTAATTTGGGTTTGAGAGATTTAAAACTAAAAGGTCGATTACACTACAATAGATCTAGATGATATGCAAGTTCGAGAACTAGGGGATAAGGTTGTGAATGAGTTTGATTATGTAGAATTTTGGTTTTTTTTGTTTGTGGATGGCGGCGGATGTGAATTTTGGTTGTGCTTGAAATTGCTAAATAAACGTACGAAAATGGGCCACTGCTTGGAATTTTGACATACTAAAAATTGCCAAAAATGGATTTTTTGTGATGGAGATGTAATTAACATGCTCTAAATCACTCATTTTAGCGAGTATAATTCACTGCCACTTTTAGTGATTTTTGCTAGACTATGGACTAAATCACTGCTGCTATTGATTATACTAAATTATAGATTCTGAATCATTGCTACTGCTTGTGATTTTGTTAGATTATGATTTTTGGTTGTTAAACTTGGTAAGGGTTTGTGAATCAAAAATTCGGAGTGTGATATGGTTGCTTAAATTTGGATTTTGATTTGATTTGTTTATGTATGATGATCTAGTGTTTATAAACTATATACTAGAAGGGAATATGAAAGTATGGTAGAAAATTAAACTAGACCATTAATTGATGTGAGAAGTAAGTAAATACTCAATTGAAAGAAGCTTGATGCTGAAATTAATATGAGCAAATCTTATTATAAGTTAATAGATTGCTTGAATATAAAGGGGTTTGTAAAATAAATCGCTTGAATATGAGCAGGCGAATTGGTGGATGATTATATAGAAATCATGCTAAATGAGATGAAATTTACATAGAATCATGGAAGCAAAGTTAAAAGCACCAACCTTGTTAAAAATTTCTGCTTCCAGAGCGATTCCTTGATGCTGCTCCATTCCATCTTCTACTCAGTTTGGTGTTGTGATGAAGAGATTAGAGTGTTTCTTCTTATTTCTGCAAGTTTTTTTCAATTCGTCCCCCCTTCCAACAAAGAGCTCAAGGAGCTCATTTAAAGCAAACCAAACGGCCACGTGTCACTATATGATTCGTCCATTTTTTTAATATGACTTTGAAGAGTGTGCCTGGTCGGCTGTGGATAGGATTTGGTTAGACCGATTTGGTCAAGGTCGGTTTATGGTTATTCTTTTCGGACCGAACTGGTTATGCTGAGTTGGGCTTGGCCCGACTTGGGCTTGGGCTTGGGCTTGGGCTTAATCAGATATGTAATTGGACTAAATGGTCTCTTCTCATTTTTTCAGGCATCTGGGCTTCGTTGATTGAGAAAGCTAGGCCAGTGGACCAGATTCATGCCTCAAGGCCCAAATGTTTCTCTTTTTGTAATTATCTATGTACAAATCAAATTGCATGGCCCAAATTTTGTAGAGTTAGCATTAGTCATTTAATTCTTCTTTATTCAGAGTACCCAAGTTGTACGATGTATCAACTTTGAAATTTTGATAATAAAGCTCATTCCGCTATTCAATTTGTCCCATTACCAATACCGAATCCAAATCCAAACTCGAGCAACCAAATTTGCACTATAGTCATTTCTCCCTTCTAAATGAGAATTTATATTTAAGATTTGCCACTGCTAATCTTAACTTAAACTGATCCTATCTTAACTAATTATGCCCTAGAATCGACTAGGAGCAAATTTGATAATTGTTGGTTCATATTGACTTGCAACTGCTAGTCTCAACTCTCAACCAAACTATCTTCAACTTCCCTTTTAAATATAATCGTAGTACGATGTTGGAATAATTATTTTCAATAAAACAATTATCCCGGACAAAATGTAGTGTCTACAGACATAATAACATACATTTATATGAATTAGCTAGTTGCAACATATAGTAATTGATGTATAGTTATGTTGTTCGTGGAGATGAAATTTTCTATATCTTACTTAGAGTGAGGTTTTTGCCTGTTTCGAGTTTCATATTCGAATTTTATGCCAGAGAGAAGAAAGAGATGAAAGATTTTTCTTTAGCATTTCACATACATAATCCTTACTTCTTGTATTATAAAATAATAATAATAAATAAGGTGAACTTAAAGGTAAAGCAAAAGTTTGTCAAGCTAATGTGGTTATAGTCGGTTAACCAAAAACTAATCATAGAAATCATGATTTTGCTAACCACACCCAACCCACTATTCACAAATTGTGAGTGTGGTTAATCACATAATCCGCAAACCAAAAACCAAACTTTCATCCCTAATTTCTTCATCCAACATCTAGGAACGCCCTTTTCCCTCAATAATGTCTCTCACTAACCCTCTCTCTAACATGCCTTCTCTCGAGCCTCTCTTTCAAGCTCAATACCCTAGAGCCTCCACAGCTGCCATCTATGGAGCCTTCAATATCCCCATTGCAACACCCTGCAGATCAATTAAGAGGGCTTCAGAAGATCACAGTGGAGTTAAGGAGGAGATACGCAACATTGAAGAGGAGTTTTCGCAACCTAAGCTCAAGACCAATGGGAGGAGGAGTAGCAAAGGGGAAGAGATCAGAAGAGCCACCAACCCGCCGCCTAAACCACCCGAGAAGAAGTCAATCAACAAGCAGTGGAGTAAATCTACAACTGATAAAGGAGATTTCGGCATTAAAGGTTGGAAGGAAAGGGAAGCAAAAATTAATGGCAACCCCCCTGCTATATCTCTCTGGCTCAGAGCAACAAGAGGAATTTACTGCCACAGAGCACCTGAGGCAGGGGGGAGGATACTACCCGGCAATGATTAGATCTGATGGTCACCTACCACTGAAGCAAAAGTCAGCAGGGATGAACCAAGCAGGAATTAACTACACTGACCAATTCTAGAAGCCACGATCTACAAGGAAGGTTCAGGGTGAAAGAAAGCTCATCAATAGAAGGTGTAGCCCGGCTGATAGCTTCTACCATAAATGGCTATTTCAAGGTAAACCAGCAAAGAGGAGTAACGGTGTGGGACAATGGAGATGGCAATCAATGCAAAGCGCATTAACTGCTTCAGAGAGGTCATTCTCTCAACCGTCAAGGGCGTATTTGGCCTATAAAAGAAAGGCAGAAGGTGGAGCTCCTACACCAACAAGGTACCCAAGCATCAACTGAGAAACCAGACACGAAAATTACATAGAAATCACAAAGATTACCCTTTCTTTCAAAAGTGCTACCCAGAGTAGGAAAGGAGGAATGGAGACCTACTCAAAAAGTCTGAGAGGAGAGAAAAGTCATCTGATCCTGAACGTGAGACCAACCATTATTGGGGCAAGAGGCAGTGGCATGGCAATGCTGTTGGGAAAATGGATCACTGAGCTAGCATTAACCTCCCAAAAGCAAAGAATGCCGCAGTCAACAAATGGAGAGCATATGGTGAAGTCGAAGCCATGAAAGAAGGGGAAAATCTCTTCGTTTACTCTTTTCAGTCAGCAAAACAAAGAGATGCTGTGAGGGAGGCAAGACCATGGAATTTGAGCAATACCCTTGTCCCTCTGAAGAAATGGGATGGAGAGCAGAAAGCAGAATCATCCGACATCACCACGGTCACCCTATGGGTCCAGATGCATGATCTTCCCCAATCCCTAAAAGATGAGTAGGTCGTCCAAGCAGTTGCGGCTTTCATCTTTCCCCAGTTTCACTGCATTGATCAGTCGAACTTCGACTTCAGAGGATGGCTGAAGTTCATCAGGGCCAAGGTAGAGGTTAGCATCGATGACCCCATCCCAATCGGCTTCGAGTACCCGGTGGGGGGAGAGATCGATTTGGGTGAGCTTCAAATATGAAAGAATCATGGATCTTTGCTACTTCTGCGGAAGACTCGGCCATCTCATCCATAATTGTATTGAAAGGGAAGAACATAAAAGGAAGGGGCTGTGTACTAATCCATCGGAGGTTTACACCGATGCTCTGAGGGCCGGCCACAATTCACCGGCAAATACTCCTCCGGCCTCGTTCAGAGAAAAGCTAGCTAACTCACGCCGCCTGATTAGTCAGAGCCCAGGGAGACACCAGATCCGCGGTACCCGAGGGGAACCTTCTCAAGTCACCCTTGCAGGCCTTCCCCTGCAGGGACCTTTCCCATATCCACCGGGTTATGCCATCCTACCAAGCTCTAGGAGAGGGTCAGACTGGGTCTATAGAGGAGAGGGAGGTAACCCCACACCTACCCTGCAAACAGCTTTTCTGGAAATCGAAATGGAGGCGACGACAAGAGCAATGCAAAAGAGCCTCGACCTAGGAGGAAGAGAAGGAAATCGTGACAAGATGGCGAGCCTGTTTGAAATGGGCCAGTCCCTTACCCTGGCGAGCCCATCATACACACCGACTGATGTTTCCCTCAATCAAACCGCAATGGATCAGCATAGCCAAGTGTTGACCAACTAGGCCCATACCCAAGGCCCAATGGCGGTTTCTAGTGCTGCAGCAACTACTGAGGAAGTCATGACCAGGCCCGAGAAGAAAAGGAAACCCGAAGAGCGAGCCAGCCTCTCTAGCCCAGTAGAGCAACAGGAAGCACCCACTAACCTATTTGTCGAGTCTCTATCTTTTGTACCAGGTGAAAATAGGAGAATCTATCAAAGAAGGAAACACATCATCAGGAGGAAGAGCTTGGCAGAAATCACGGCAGAAGGATGTCAATCCGGAGAAAGGGAATCTACCACTCCGAGGGAAGCGGCGGCAGGCCTCAAGCCGCCTCTCCAGGAATGAGGATCCTAATCTGGAATTGTAGGGGGTTCGGCCAACCTCTTAGAAGGAGCTACTACGGCAGACTCTGTCGACAATTCGGCCCTTCAATGCTTTTTCTTATGGAAACAAAGAAAGAAGACTCCTTTATGGAGGAGAGGAGAAGAGCAATGAATTTTGATCATTCGGATTATGTTGGTCCAGGGAGGGAAGGAAGTGGTTTAGCTCTTTGGTGGAAGGATGATGTCGAAGTTAGTGTTTTGGATTCGTGTAAGTCCTTTATGGACACTAGTATTAGTAGGAATGGGGTCAAGTTTTTCTGCACCTTTATCCATGCTCCTACCACGGTGGTAGAGAGAAATGCTCTTTGGGATCGACTTACGAATCTCAGGGCGAATCAGGAAGAAAGTTGGTCTGTGGTGGGTGACCTTAATGTCGCTATCTACCCTTTTGAAAAACAGGGACGCTGTCCGTTAAGAAATGAAAATGTTACTCCATTCAAGTACTTCATTACTAGAAATACTCTAGTAGATCTCGGTTTCTCAGGACAAACCTTTACCTGGAGTAATAAGCAAATAATTTGATCAGGGAAAGACTTGACCGAGCACTATGCTCGACTTCTTGGAGAACAGAGTTTGAATCAGCCATGGAGTTTCATGAAGACTTCGTGGAATCGGATCACTGCCCGATTAGGATCGATCTCCACCCATGTGGACGTACCCCCTATGCACCTATCCGGTTTGACAAGAGGTGGCGTGAAAGCGAAAAATGCTGTCAGATTGTCAACAACCGCTGGATCAGAGGTGGAATTGTACAAGAAATCCTCAAGGACTGCCAAAAGGACTTGAGAAATTGGCCGAGAAATGACAGAATGATGAAGCAAAAGAGAGAGAAAGAAATAAGACAAAGACTACATGTTTTACAGGGGACGAATAGATCCACGATGTTGGTCAGTGAAGAGAAGAATCTCCAGCTTGAATTGGAAACATTATGGAGCTCAGAAGAAAGCTTCTGGGCACATAGATCGAGGATCTCATGGTTGCAGGAAGGAGATCAGAACTCGGGCTTCTTCCATGCGAGTACAATCAAAAGGAAGAACCAGAATTGTATTATGAAGCTCAAGGACACAGAGGGGAATTGGATAACCAATGTTCACGATCTTGGTGTTCATGCCAATGAGTTTTATCACAAGCTTTTTACGAGCAAGAATGGACAGCTTGACCCGAATATCCTAGAGGGCTTCCCATGTCTTGTTTCTAAGGAGGCCAACATCAGTCTTTGTGCACCAGTTGAAAAGGAAGAGATTCGTAGGGCAGTTTTTCAACTTGGAGCAAACAAGGCTCCAGGAGCTGATGGTCACCCAGGTTTATTCTTCAGGAAATATTGGAATACATTGGGAGATATTTTCAGCCATGAAATCTCCAATTTCTTCCTAACAGGTATTATGCCTGATAAGTGGAATGATACTTTCATTACCATCATTACCAAGGTGGAAGCTCCCGAGATGATTGGCCAATTCCGGCCCAACAGCTGTTGTAGGTACAAGGTAATTACCGAGATCATGACCAACAGGCTACAACCCTGGATGCCAGACCTGGTCAATGAGTTGCAATCAACTTTTACAGGGGGAAGACAGATTCAAGATAATATTATTAGTGTCCATGAAGTTCTCAACCATTTCAAAAAACACAAAACGGGAAGCAAAAGGGAGATGATGATGAAGCTGGATATGAGGAAGGCCTATGACCTGGTTGAATGGGACCTGCTCATCAATCTTCTTCGTGCCTATGGTTTCAGTGATATCTGGTGTGGATGGATACAGTCCTGCATATCTACTGTGAGCTTCAGACTATTTTTAAATGGTGAACCCTCTCCTGAGTTCAAGCCCACTAGAGGCATTCGACAAGGAGACCCCCTGTCTCCCCTCCTCTTCATTCTCTTGTCGAATGCCCTCTCTTTTCTAATTGATAAAGCGGTACTCAGGAAGGATATCAAAGGTATCAAAATTAATCGCTCTTGCCCTATCTTATCTCACTGCCTTTTTGTGGATGATACAGTCATTTTTGGGGAAGCTTCATCGAAAGAAGCAGGGAAGATTTTGGAGATTCTCAAGGATTATGGGGCTGCTACGAGTCAAGAAGTGAATAAGGATAAATCCTCAATGTTCTTTAGTTTCAATGTTCTCAGTGACGAACAGACAAGGATCATCCATGATTCTGGCTTTGCCGCAACAAATGGACATTCCACTTATCTTGGAGTCCCCACAGAATGGGGAAGATCTAAGAAGGAGACCTTTAATTTCCTCATTCAACGAATGGAAAAGAGAGGAGAAGCTTGGAAGAGCCTCCTCCTATCGCCAGGGGGAAGGAAGTTCTTCTCAAAGCTGTTTTCCAAGCTGTCCCCTCATACATTATGTGCTTATTCCTTCTCCCACGATCAACCACTAAGAAGATGGATTCAATGCTGAAGAACTTTTTCTGGGGTGGTTCGATGACAAAAAAAAATCCATTGGAGGACTGGGCATGTTCTGTATGCTCCAAAAGAAGAAGGGGGACTAGGATTTTGGCCATTTCATATATTCAACCTGGCCCTGTTAGCCAAACAGGCTTGGAGAATCCTCACCAACAAGGATGACATGTGGGTCAAGGTTCTTAAAAGTATCTACTTCCCTAAGTCTGACTTTCTAAATACAAAGAAGGGAGGGAAGTCCTCGTGGATTTGGTCAAGTTTATGCGAGGCAAAGACATGGATGGGGCAAGGGATCATCAGGGTCATTGGTAATGGGAGATCTACCGAATTGTTCCAGGATCCTTGGAGAAGAGACCGAGCGGGTGCACTCCTTGACTTCGAGTGGCCCGACCTGTCTACAGTCGACCTCTGGATCAATGACATCTCAAGAGAATGGAAATTTGATATCCTCGCGAGTTTTCTTGGACCTCACGACTTGAGATAGGTGGTCGCCATTCCCATTGGTCCTAATTCTCTAGAAGACTTCTGGGCCTGGAGATTTACCGATCAAGGCACGTTCACGGTCAAGTCGGCTTTCTTTCACTTCCACAATCGGTTCAGAGCTTCACAAGCACAATGGGAGACTGAGTCGGAGGCTACTAAAGGGAAGTGAAAATGGCTGTGGAGCCTGTCTATCCCCCCGAAGTTGAAGTTCTTCGTTTGGAGGATCGCCAAAGGAGCTATTGCTTCAAAAGAAAACCTCTGTATAAGGGAATGCTCCCCATCCATGACGTGTCCAGTGTGTGCTTCCCCAACGGCATCTATCCACCACTGCCTCTTCGCTTGCCCTCACGCAGTAGAAGGTTGGCAAC